CCCCTTCCCAGCTCCGTTCCCTGCCCTGGACACACTCCAGCCCCTCCAGGGCTCTCCTGCACCAGCCACAACTGGAGCCAGGTTTTGAGTTGGGGTGAACCAGAGGTGGGGACAAAGTGCTCAGGGTGTCCCCTCACCTGGGACTGCTTTTGACTTGGTGAGAACTGTGGCGTTAACAGGTTTCTGCTGGGCAGCTCGAAAATATGTGGAGGTGAAGAGGTGGGGAATTTGGATCTGTAGACAAAAGTCCTTTGGTTCCTTCTTCCAGGGGCCCTCAGCCCTGTCCATCCCTGGCTGTCCCTGTCCATCCCTGTCTGTCCCTGGGTGCAGGAGGGGCAGAGCAGGCCCAGGCTCTGCTCCAGGCCCAGCAATGGCACCAGAGCCACGGGCAGGGGCTGAGCCCAGCAATTCCCCCTGCACAGGAGCACAACTTGTGCCCTGGGCAGTGCCCAGAGAGGGGCTGGAGTCTCCTCCTGGGGATATTCCACAATATCCACAATCCGTGCCCTGAGGTGGCACCGGGTGAGCTCTGTGGGCCCTTCCAGCCTGAGCCATCCCAGGGTTCTGCACCTTTCCAGAACAAGGGGACAACTTGTGACCACTGACGTGGCCCAAGGTCAGTGCCAAAGTTCTCCAGGGGTGAAGCTGCTTGGGAATGGCTCTGGTTTGCCGGTGGGGGCAGGAGGGGTGTCCAGAGCTGGAATTCCAAACCAGGCCCTTCGTGCTCTTGGGAGCTTTTCCTTCTCCCCTCTGGAGCAGCAGCTCCCATTGTCTCCTCTTCCCTCCCCACAGCTCTGGGACTGGAATTAGTGCTGGGCTCTGGGACTGGAATTAGTGCTGGGCTCTGGGACTGGAATTAGTGCTGGCTGTTCAGGAAAAAATGTTGTGGCTCCTGAGTTGGGAGCCAGGCAGTCCCATTTCCTCTGTGCCCAAGTGGGCTGGCTCTGAGGCAAACCAAGGAACCTGTGTCTGTGGATCTCCTGGTTAGCAGAGTTCAGCTTATTTTTAGTTTGGGTGATGGCTTTAGGCAAGCCAGGATAAACCACGGCAATTTTGGGAGAGGGAGAATGAGAGGGATTATAGTGACAAGCTTTCCAACCCAACAATTAGTTGGTGTTTTCAGAGTATGGCCACAAGTGGAGAAGGTTGCAAATTTTACAATCCTGAATGTAGAAATCTGTGGCTTTCTTTTCTTGTTCTTTCTCTCTGGTTTTGTTTCTAAATACAAGGGGCTCAAATCTTTGGCTTCGTTGTGTTCACAAACTGCACCTCACGTTGGCCTTGCAGCCACTCAGGGAATGTGGAGAGGAGACAAAAAGCTTCTCTGTCATTTGGGGGGTGAGGGATGGAGGGCAGCGAGTTTACCCAACAATATTTAATTTAATTTAAATATTAAACACCGAGGTTTAAGATGGGTTTGTCAGGGGGGGACCTCATTGCTCTCCACAACTCCCTGAAATGAGGTTGTGGAATGGGCACGGCCCTGAGGCTGCCAGAGCTCCGGGAGCCTTTGGAGAGCACTCCCAGGGACAGAATGGGATTGTTGGGGTGTGTGCAGGGCCAGGAGCTGGATCAGTGATCCCTGTGGGTCCCTTCCAGCCCAGCACATTCCATGGTTCTCTAAGAGTCACACACATGCAGTATAAATAATATAAATGAACGTGGTGCTAATTGCTGTCTGCACATCAAGCCATGGGTTTTGTGTTTTCCCCACACTGCTGATTTTAAATATTAATGAACAACAACAATGCAAGGACCCCAAAACTGCTCCCAATCCATCATTTTCCTTTGCTAGGACTATTGACTTGTGCAAGGCTCAGACCAAGTGATTCCAGGTGAGTCAAATCCATGAACTCATTTCCTTTTTGCTGGTGCCTGACTTGGAAATTTTGCTGAGGAATTACCTGCTCCTAAAAATCCTCTCCCTAAATGCTTCCACTTTGTCTTCTTTGGTTGCAGCACCACCTCTCCAGGTGTCCTCTCTACCACATAAAATAACCAAATTTCTCTGAATTTCTCACTTTTCTCTCTCTCTTTCCCAGCCTGAGACAGCTGCGGCGCTCAAACGCACCGTGGAGGCTCTGATGGAGAGAGGAGCCATCGTGAGGAACCTGGAAAATCTGGGGGAAAGGTCTCTGCCTTACAAAATCTCCAGGCACAAGGAGCGCCACAAGAGAGGAGGGTACGTGGTGATGCCTTTTCCTTAAATCCTTTGGGTGCTGCTCCTGGAAAATGGACATCAGGAAGAACCCTTTGGTCTTCCCTGGTGTTTTTTGGGTTGTGAGTGGGAGCTGGGAGGGCTCAGCAAGATGGTGGGTGGTTGTTGGGGGGTGTGTGTGCCCTCCTTGGAGTGTTTGGTGTGTTTTATTCTGAGTGGTGTCAGTTTTGTGTTGGTTTTCTGTCATGTTTTTGTAGCCCCGAGCCTGAAGGACTTTCCCCAATATAAACAATATTATTATTATTTTAAATAAATATTTTTAGGATGTTTCCTGATAAAAACTGAACTTAATCTGCTGGTTGGCAGGATGGGTTCCTTTCCTCCAATGTTAATTATCGTGTTTAGGTGCCCTGTAAGACTTGGTTGTGTTTCTGATAGAGTTTTTAGGTTTGATAAAGTCCAGAATCATGGAATGCTTTGGGTTGGGAGGGATTTTAAGGATCATCCAGTGCCAGCCCGGCCATGGCAGGGCCACCTCCCACTGTCCCAGCTGCTCCCAATGTCCAGCCTGGCCTTGGGCACTGCCAGGGATCCAGGGGCAGCCCCAGCTGCTCTGGCAATTCCATCCCAGCCCCTGCCCACCCTGCCAGGGAACAATTCCTGCCCAACATCCCAAGATCCAGCCCTGCCCTCTGCCCCTGGCAGCCATTCCCTGGCTCCTGGCCCTGCAGCCCTTGGCAATTGTCTCTCTCCAGCTTTCCTGGAGCCCCTTCAGACCCTGCGAGGGGCTCTGAGCTCTCCCTGCAGCTTCTCCTCTCCAGCTGAGCACCCCCAGCTCTCCCAAGCTCTGATTTAAGGGTGTTTAAGATAATCCTGTGTTTTATGGAATCACAATAAGTGGGAATAAACACTCCCACAGTGCAGAGGGAGGTGCTGTAGCTTCCATCCCCTGCCCAGGGTGCTTTTGCTCCTTGAGGCCACCTTTGAAATGGCTGCTGCCTCTCCCAAGGCCTGGGAGATGTTGCTAAGCAACCCCCACTGCTGGGGCTGCCTAATCCAAATAACAATTAACCAGCTCCTCCCGATCCTGCAGCGATGGCTCTGCCTGCAACAGGAGCTTGGCCAACCCTGCTCTTCCTTGAGCAGCTCTGAGGGGGCTCCAGAGCTGCAAAGACCTTCTGGGATCCATTCCTGCATTCATTCCCTCTCCTGGGCACCTCGTGCCAAATGGGAGTGCTGAGAGCTGCCAGGGGAAGGGGGAATCTCCACCACACTCCTGTTCCTTCAGCCTGGGGAAGAGAAAGGCCAGGGAGACCTCAGGGCCCTTTCAGAACCTTAAGGAACACTAGGAAAAGGAGGAAAGGGGACTTTGTCCAAGAACATGTAGGGTTAGGTGGGATATTGGGGAGGAATTTCTCCCTGTGGAGGTGATGAGGCCCTGGCACAGATCCCCAGGAGAAATGGCTTCTCTTCATCTCTTCTCCAACCTTCTGGAGATGCTGGTTCCTGTCTTCTGTTGAAGAACCCAAAAGCTGACCTGCAGAAGTGCTGTCACCCAAGGCAAAAACTTTCATCCAAACCCTCCAACACCAAAAATCAGTGGAATTTCATCCCTCTGCCTTAGCTCCCCACTGGCACAAGGAGAGGAACACCAGCTCCTTCTTCTGCCCTTGGAAAAAGCATTAATGTTTATAAAATGCTTCTGCTCCGACAGCAGGATGAGGTAATCACTAATTCTGTCTTGAGACAAGAATTTCTCAGCTCCCATGGGCATGCAACAGGATTTCATCCCACATTGCAAAACTGGCAGGGTCAAGCCATGGTTTGAAAAGAAATTGTGTGGAGCAGGAGAGCAAAACAGGCACAGGCACAATGGCAGGGCCTGGAGTCAGAGTTTGGGTTGGGAAGGACCCCAAATCCCACCCATTCCCAGCCCAGCCATGGCAGGGCCACCTCCCACTGTCCCAGGAGCTCCCAATGTCCAGCCTGGCCTTGGGCACTGCCAGGGATCCAGGGGCAGCCCCAGCTGCTCTGGCAATTCCATCCCAGCCCCTGCCCACCCTGCCAGGGAACAATTCCTGCCCAAGATCCCAAGATCCAGTCCTGCCCTCTGCCCCTGGCAGCCATTCCCTGGCTCCTGGCCCTGCAGCCCTTGGCAATTGTCTCTCTCCAGCTTTCCTGGGGCTCCTTCAGGCCCTGCAAGGCCACCCTGAGCTCAGCCCAAAGCTTCTCCTGGCCAGGCTGAACAATGGCAGCTGTGCCAGCCTTTGCTGCCAGCAGAGCTGCTCCATCCCTCTGCTCATCCTGGAGCCTCCTCTGGGCTCTCTCCAGCAGCTCCAGCTGCTCCCTGGGCTGGGCCCCAGGGCTGGGACAGCTCTGCAGGTGGGGTCTCACCTCAGGGGGCTCAGGCACAATCCCAATCCCTTTCCTGCTGCCCACGCTGGGCAGGGGGGCTCTGGGATGGGACAGGTCCAGCTCTCACCCCCCAGCAGTTCCAAATCCTTCTCCCAGAGATCTTGGAGCAAAGCCCTCCTGTCTCAGGGCAGGTGTATTTTACGTGCTGAGTAAAGCAAGGTTTTAGTGAGCAGCAATTGCAGCCTTCACACAGGAAGCCATCAGCTCCTCCTCCTCCTCCTCCTCCTCCCAGGTCAGATGTCCCCAAATATTTCCCAGTCCCTCTCCCTGCCCTGCACCTGGATCTCTGTCCTTGGATGTGGCAGGAGCCTCCCCCAGATTCCCTGGCCTGTTGAAAGGGAGAAGGGATTGAGGGAGGTGCTACAGGAAATGGTTTGTGAGAATTTCTTTGGGATCTCAAATTCCAGAGGCAGGGATCCTACAGGGGGAGGCAGCTGGCAGTGGCAGTACCTGGGAATTCCAGGGGATTGTATTCCTGGAGATTTTCCTGCTGAATTTGCAGCTCCCTGGGCAGGCAGCGTGGATTACTGGTGGACCATCCAGTATTTTATATTGGAAAATGAAACATTCAGGAAATCAAACATTATCCACCTATAGGAAATGATAAATCTGGTTTTTGAGCCACCTTAGGAAATCAGCCAGTTCTACTTTACAGCAGCTGTAAAAAAAAATCTTTTTATTTTATATTTTTTTTCAATAGGACAAAGTTTAAAAAGAAATTAAATAACTTTTCCAGATACCTTCCTAAGCTCCTGGATTTACCATAAAATCCTGGAATCTTTTTCTCCCTCCCAGGCAATTTCTAATTCCCCTGTGTCCCTTTTGGAGCACGTTGTCATGGAGTGGGACATTGGATAATCCAGAATATTTCATCTTTCCTTAGTCTTGGTTTATTCTGAATTAATTTAAGAGGCTTCTGTGAGAATTCAAATTAACGTCTTAATTTTTAATTTTTTGCTTGTTTGAGATTTTAATATTTTTTTAAGTTCATTTTTTTTAAAAAAAATTTGACTCTTAGAGCTTTAACTGATTTTCTACAGCATGTAGTTATTTGGAGGTTTGTGATGGACACTCAATCCATTGTTTCCTTGGACCTCCTGGCTGGTGAATTATATGAATTATATATTATATTTTATGTAATATTATGTATTATGTATTATATATTATATTATCTATTATCTATTATATATTATGATATATTATATATTATATTTATATATAAAATATATATTATATTTTATATAATATAATTATATAAAAATGAATGCAAATTGGCTTGGACTGAGCTGGGCTGGTGGAAGATTCCGGGCCCATGGAATGATCTTGAACTTCCAACTCAAACCATTCCATGAGTTTTAGGGCAAAGCTTGTGCAGGTCAGATTTGAAGTAAAAAATACAAATTCATGAATCAGCAGGAGGGATGGTTTGTCATTAAAAAAAGAGCTTTATTCCCTGAGTTCTGGAGTGCTCCAGCATCATCTGAGATATTGTGGATACAAAATGCGTTACAGGCACGTTACAAACTCAACAATATCCAAGAGACTTGACAGGGAAAAGGAATTTTCTGGCAATTTCTGTCTGAAACTGATTTCTCCAAAGCTGCCAAGGGGGATTGTGGCCCTAAACTGGCACTGGCAGGAGCAGCTTTCCTCTCCTGAACACCTCTGATCCTACAAACAATGGAATTATTCCCTCTCAGGAGATTCTGCTCATTGAGGAGATGCCAAAATTCAGGTTTTTCTCTTAAATGCATCTCTTTGGGCATCCTCCTCCTTTTTGTTTTATTATTTTTTATGGAAGACCTGATATTGACAGTTTTTGCCTGTAGGTCATTATGCAAATGGAGTTTTGGGAATTGTGTGGATTCATCTACAGAATCAAACTTTTCAATCCCCGATTTACTCATCTTTAAACTGAATTAGCCACTCATTCACACTGATTTTACTCACAGTGGAACACGAATATTTTGGTTTTTAATGATTTAAAAATGGAACAATTCATCTTGTGGGTGAATAAAACGTGACAAGGGCCAGGTTCCAGGTATGGAAATTTAAGTGAGACTTTGAGCCTGACACATCCACGGCCCTGGCTGTGAAAAACCAGGAGAAGAATGTGTTTAAATAAAGATTCCCAACCTTTCTCTCCTGCTGGGCAACACATTGGTGCCAAATATTTCTTTTACTCGCCACTACTTGTTATTAATGAGCTGCATTTAAATTGCTTTGAAGGTGCTTGGTGGTTTTTTGGGTGGCAGAGGTGTTTCTACCTGGCACAAACAAAACCAAACTGATTTAAATAAGGTGTGTGCCAGCCTTTGAATGGAAGGAATGTTCACCTCTGACTCTGTTTGCAGTTTGAGATGCTCCAGAACCACTGAATCCCTCTCCAGGCTGGCTGAGGACAGCAGAGCAGATTCCAACTGGTTGTAAAGTGATAGTAGCACACTGGGGGTGGCACTTTGTGGTTCCCTGTTTGCTCTGGCCCTGCCTCAATCCCACCCTGGTGCCTGACCCACGGGGAGATGATCCAAAGGCAGCTCCAAAACAGCACAAAAAATCATGAAAAAAAAAAATCAGATTCACACATTTCCTTTGGGAATCATCACACA